GTACAAAATTAGGAGGTATAACATGTCATGGAAAAGTTGTAAAATTTAAAATATACAAATGACATGGGAATGATTAATCAACTATAATTAATGGTTATTATAATTCCTAAGGTCAAATTTCAGTGCCCTGATGTATAACTGGTAGTTATTCCCTATTTACAACAAAGATTTTATTAAATATTTACTTATTCTTAGTAACATTTATAAAGGGAAAAAGTGATTTAGAGGCTTTTTTAAACTTTTTTTTATTTTAAAAAATATGTTTCATGATAGCCCTAGAAATTCAGATCATTCAAGAACTTATCAAAAAGTCCAGAGTAACATAGATTACACTAGGCAGAAGCTTGAGAAATTTACTGAAGAGGTTATCCCAGTTGCCTCCCCCTGCGTCCCTGATCAGCACGGAAGAAGCCAGAGCGGTCTGAGTTCTGATTCCTATCTGCAATTTGTGTAGCCTCTTCAGAGGATGGTGTGATAAGAATAGGAGGTAGGAATTGGCTAGGCAGTTAGGGTAAAAAGATCCCACACTAATGTAGCCAGCTTCTTCGCTAAAACTCACAATGTCCTTGGGCCTGTTAGCAATATACTCTGTTCCAAAGGCCAAAAATGTCAAAAGTATTTGGGAGCTCTTATCTAATCCCTAAAAGATTTTAGGGTTACCTCTTCAGAGGGGGGAATGTTAGAGTAGCCAAAAAAAGTACCATTAAAAAAAAGAGGCTTTCTTTTCATTTCCAGGAATCTCTAGTTGCACAAAATAGCAGTGGCTCTCTGCTCTCTCTCTCTCTGTGTGTGTGTGTGTGTGTGATGGAGCCATTTAAAACTTTGTGATTAGATTTTTATGCAAATGCTAACTTTATATGCTTTCTGATTGCGGAAAGCCTTCACTTACTGGGTAGCCTCTTTCTTAATACTGGAGGAAAACAAATTATGAAAAAGAATTGTTCTGGGGCTGGAGAGATGGTTCAGGCATTAAGAGCACCGAGGACCTGAGTTCAGTTCCCAGCACCCACACAGTAGCTAACAACTATCTTAACTACAGTGCCAAGGGATCCAACACCCTTTTCTGGCCTCCAAGGGCATTGCAGGACATAGGTGCACTTGTATACACGTAGGCAAAACACTCATCCACATAAAATAAAAATAAATAAAAAGTGAATTGTTCTTTCTTATGACTCTTCTTATATAATCACAAAACATAAGAGGAAGGAGAAAGAGGAGGAGGAGGAAGAGGAGGAGAAAGAGGAGGAGGAGGAGAAAAAGAACCTAGTTCTAATGGCATAGAAAACATTTTCAAAATTATCATAACAGAAAATTTTCCATAGTTCAAAAAGAGATACCAATCCAGATACTGAAGGCATTTAAGAAACCAAGCCCCTTGTCATATTCTAATTAAAATACTAAATACACTGAGCAAAGATATCATATTAAAAACAGCAAGAAACACCAAGTAACGTATAAAGGTAGGCCCTTTAATTTTAAAGTTTCAGTAGAAGAAAAATAAAAAGACAGAAAAAGAATCTTAACTTTTATGCATATGAGCTTGTTTGCTGGATGTCAAAAGTCTAACAAACTCAGCCTGACAAACCTCCATGAAAGCAAAGACAGACTCCTCCAATGCAAAGCCATATGCTCACCTCTGCCTAGGTCAGCAGTCACAGCAATCCTCTGCCTCCCACTGAGTCACTCAGTGTGCAACTCTACAGACATTCAGTTTTCAGGTGCTATAAAGAAACATGAAGTATACTTGTAGAACAGGAATATTCAGTGCCTTGACCGGATAGTCAACCAACACATGTGATAAGAGAGTCTAGAAGTGCACACACTTAAATAGGTTCATGTAGAATGAGAAACCTACATTAGAAGAATGAATTGTACCAAGGGAGTGTCCTGGTTGCAATACCTGCACTCTTAATATGATTGTAAAGTGGTGCTGCCACTGGGGAAAATCAGGTGAGGATTATTATAGGTATCTCTGTGTTGTTTACTATAATAGCATGTGAACAATTTTTTAATTTCAATTTAAGGGAAAAAAAAACTTGCCTACCTGAAGCTCAGTCCAACTTCCCACTGAAACCCTTTTCTCCACACATCTCATACCATGGTAAGATCCAGTCACGCTGATGTTCCTTCTGCGTTGCCTTTGAACCACTGTGCACAGTGTTCCACTCTCTGAATGCTAACTTGGCAGGAGTGAGAAACAATATCAGAGTCCCTGAGCTACACAAGAAAAGCATTCCTGTTCCAGCACCATCAGACCTAGCTGTGGTCTATGTACTCAGAACCCATGAATCTGAAACATGGCCACCAGAAGGAGCACTGTAAATCTCAGTTCTGCTCAAGGAATCTGCTATAATTCACATAGTAAACCACAGCTTGAACAAAATGGGAGTGTGCGTCTGTGTAAACACTGGGCTTCTGCACAGCCATGTACCTTGTACCCACTAAGGTGCAAATTGACACTTGTGTCCTAATATTAAGCAAGGATGTTCCACTTACACAGAGTAAATAATTGGACTGGCAAAGTTCATGCTTTTCCCATTTTAGCCTTTGGCCTTTTATGTAAACAATATTCAACACAAAACACTTATCTTTGTACAAAAGAAAGCACACCAAAGAAAAAGCCTTGGGATGCTAGCCATTCTGGTTTCTATCTTCAAAAGGACTTCTGATATGGGACTAAAATGTGACCTGAGAAATTAGGAAGTTCTTTGTTCATCCTGGAAGTTTTCCTTTTTTTCTTCTTCTGCTTTTTAAAAAGACTTCCTCTCCATTGCCCTCAGGCCACTCTTGGGGTGGGTCTATCGCGGACCCCTCCGCGCATTGACTCCCCCGGCCTCATTCGCCCTTCCATCTCCCCCGCTGTCCTCTGCTCCTGGTTTGGGCCCTGCGCCATTCCTGGTCTTGGGTCCCCAGACACCTGGGGAACCGGTGCTGCTTCCTGATCCTTTTCGCCCAGGCCAGCTTGGTGCCTTCCTTGGGCTCCAGGAGCACTGCTTTGGGACCTGGCCCCGCCCTCACCTCTCTCTGCTTCCCTGGACCTACACCAGCGGCTAACTCTCCTAACCTACTCTCCTATCCTCAGGCCTCTTGGGCTAAGTCTTTCGCACGCCCTCTGTGCCTTGACTCCCCCAGCCTCATTCACCCTTCCATCTCCCCCGCTGTTCTCTACTCCTAGTTTGGGCTCTGTGCCATTCCTAGTCTTGAGGCCCCAGACACAACTGCTTCCTGATCCTTTTCACCTAGACCAACTTAGTGCCATCCTTGGGCCCCAGGAGCACTGCTTCTGGACCCGGCCCTGCCCTCAGCTCCCTCTACTTCCCTGGTCCTGCAACACCTGCCAGCCTCTTTTGGGGCTGACAGCCTCTTTCTGGGGCTCCGAGACTTACCTTTCCTCTACCTGATCCTTTATATGCAGTACAACCCAGCTACTCAATCCGCTCCCTGGGAAATCTTGGGGCTTCTTACCACCCCATCTGCCTTTGCATCCCTGTGTGGCACGGCCACTGCCAGGGTCTCAGGTCAGTCCAACACCCAAGTTCCTGAGGCCAAAATCATTCTTAGAAGATTCCAGACCTAAGGAGAAAGTCTGAAAACTTCTGACCCACATTGGAATTGGACCACCGCGGAACTCCTGAAAACAAAATCAATCCGGCCACAACAATATAAAATCAAAAGAGAGAACCAGAAGCTTAGA